CACTGTTTAAAGGATTCTTGGTGAATCTCTTCTTGAATATTTCTTTATTATAAACCATTTCTTTAAATTCTTTCTTTGGGAATTGTCTTTTTAAAAGCAATTCCATTTGAACACATTGGTCAAATATAAATTTGATCACAATATAATTCAAAATTCTAAATTAAATTAAAATAAAAAAATTTATTAAAAAAAATAAAAATTTTGACTTAAATTTTGATCTTTTTATTTTTGAGGTTATTGATTCTATTGTTAAAAATTTTGAATTTATATTTATTACTTTTGACTTAAAATTAATATTTAAAATAAAATATTAAAAAGTAATAAACTAAATAAAAAATGTTTAGGGTTGCTCAGAAGGGATCATAACTGAAAACTGATGTATAGTAAAAGCAAACATAGAACATACATATATGGTTTTTTATCTTAATACTAGAAAATCTACAAGAAGAGCTCAACTTTTAGAAATTTCTTATTTCAAGGTAGTCCTAGAGGGATCAATAAGCAGAACAATTCATGAGACTTAATAACTATACAACATAATGGAAGGCAACTGAAAGAAATAGAAATAGAAAACTGGAAGGAGAAGTTTATTAAAGAGAATATTAAAGAAGGTGCATATCAAATCCATCTAATTGAAATACTCAGGCATAACAAGGGGGATAGTAACAATAAACCAATGACCTTTTACTCAGATGGATCCCTTGTTGATCATGGAAATGAAAATATGAAAATGTGTAAAGCATGGATACAAATTGGAGAAGTAGGAAGAGAAAACAAGTTCCAAGCAGGGGTAGCTGATTGGCCTTTGTTCACAAAAGCAGAACTAGTAGCGATAGTCACTATACTACTAGTAGTACCAATTAATAGCAAGGTCAAAATCCATACTGACAGTCAAGACTGCATCTTCAAATGGAAATCTATAGAAAAGGAGAATCCCCAAAAAACTTATAAAAAATGGCTAAAGGAACAAAATTGCTTCTTGTAGGCATAAATGTTGAGCCTGGTAAAGAAAAAAAAAATTAGATCTAAATTTTATCAAGGTTAAAGTACACTCCAATATTCAATACAATGAGGAAGCAGACATTCCAGCTAAAGAAGTATTAAAGTTCTTAACAATAGAATGGCAAGATCTGAATCCACCTAAGATTATTAGTGAAATTAAATGACAAAATATAGTGCTGGATGCTCTAATAAGACAGTTTGTTAAAAAAACTAATGCCAAAATAATGACACACCAATAAACAACTCAAAATAGAATAGATAAAAAATGGAATTATCAAATCCAAGATCAACACAGGCACATATGGGACCTAGTTTAAGAACAAATAAATAATGGGCATACATAGAATACCTCCTTCAAAGAATCATAAAGAAAAAGCTTTCTTGTTAAGATGACCAGTGACAAGCTACCCATGCTAACAAAGCTAGCCACAAGAAAACCAGACTTATACAAGCAAGTAAAATGTCTCACATATGAACAGCAAGAAGAGATAATAGAACACTTGCTAGAATGTTTAGCATACAAAACTCAGTAACAAGAAACCTGACAGAAGGGTATGGAAGATATGATGCAAGGTTTTAACAAACTTCTAGCAGATAGGAAAAAGGAGTCAGAAGAAAAAGAGATAAGTCCAGCAGTTGATGACAGAATGAAAAGAGGAGAAATGGATAAGAAAATAGCTCAACTAGTAAAAAGGATTTCAAATACTGGTCGGGATATACTTAGCTTCTATGTGGGATTGATTAAAAAAGACCTAATGAATGAGATAGCAGACTCGAAGTGCTATGGAAAGAGAATTGGTAAAGAAGCAAGAAAATGGATAATGAAGATGCAGAAAAAAACATGTAATCACTTCAGAAAGAAAATTTGAATGTCAGATGTAAAAAAATGATAGAATGGGAATAGACATTAGGAATCAACAGAGGTGACAAGATCAAAAGGCCAATATATCTATAGAAACAAAAAGACAGAACCAAGGTATTAGGAAATCAGTCATATCAAGTACCATTAAAGAAAGAAAAATCAGAAAATATGATGCTCAAACAGGTCCTGTAAAATGGGATAAAGTATGGAATAAAATGGTTGGGTTTTAATCTCTGTCAGAACTCAAAAGAGTGATCTGCAGTAGTAATTTGCAGGTAATGATGTTAGAAGTTGGAAAGGTATTTACCTGAACTCCTAATGGAACAATAAATTACTCCAAGGTAAAACAACCAAGATGAGTGAATTACTTAAAGAATTACTGTAGTTTTAGCATCTCATAATATATGTACAGCTTATAAATATTTAATAAAGCATATGTAATTAGTCTAACAGAGGGCAAAAAAAAAAAAAAAAAAAAAAAAAAAACCAAATAAAAAATATTTTTAAATATTTTTAAATTATAAAATATAGAACCTGTGGTCAATAGTATAGTAGTAATGCTTCCAGATCACAATCACAAGATCTATTATTTAAGAATCAAAAAAATTAAAATTACCTTTCTAATCAGGTTTACTGGTTATCCTATGAAAATTGTATCCAATTATCTAGAACAAACTTTAATCAGGTTAGGCTGCATGAAGATGGGACTTCTGGCTTTTCATCGATCAGGGGTTGAGATCTATGGTTGTACTACTAGAAGGATTGCATGAAAAAAGCTTCTGATCTAATCCACCATAAACGTACCACAGACCTCCTGCCCTGGCAGTCTTCAGAACCCCACCCTTCTAACTCAGAATATCTTAATATGATGCTTCGCTTAAATGAAAATCAGTTAAATAGGACTGATCCGATACTACAGGTAGTGACAAAAAAAGTAAAGTACTTCCTTCCAAGATCTAAGTAAATAATATTTCTGGAAGTATTGGAGGGTAAAATTAAATCTCATCAGGTATATACTATATAATCTAGTTTAGCAAATATAATATAAAAATTTATAAAGTTTACTGTTAAATTAGCCTATTTTGCTGTCTATGATTGTATATTTAAATATCCAGCTCCTAGCTGAGTCTGTTCCACTCACAGAGTAGTAGCAGGTCCATCTAGAGAAAATCACAATAGGTTATTATTAATTTGCATATATATAGAAATATATAGTTTGTATAAGATAATTAATGTAATGTCATAAAGGATTTCATTATCCAAGATATTAAGTTAATTTTTAATAAAAGTACTTGTATCTAATATCAGTTGTAGTTTAAAAAAAAAAATTAAATTAAATTATAAAATATAAAACTTTCAAATAAGTATTAACAAAAAAAAAATTTTAATAAGTAAAAAATTTAAGAGATATTAATAGAAAGGTATTGATATCATACTTTTTTTGCTGATTCTCTAATTATATACAAAAAAGATATTTGTAAAAAGTTTTTATGTTTGCTAATAAAGTCTTAATACATTCCTTAAAACAATTTAAAGTATAATTCAAGAGTTACTTCACTCTTCTACTATTGTTTACAAATCTCTTTACTCAAAAACTTGATTCTTAATGATTAAAAAAATTTAGATAATATATTTAATATTAATGACAAAAAAGTTTTCAAAGGAAAAAGAATTGACTATGAAGTACCTGAAGACCTTTTTAATCTTTGAAGTAAAAGGTTTATAAAGGTTTTTTGTAGTAAAAAGACTAATTTTCTTTCTTTTTGATTGTTTTAATTCTTTTAAAATTTCTACTTTCATGGTTTTTTGAGGAATTTTACTTATCTCAATTTGATCCTAAATTTTGAATAGCATAAATTCTTATAAAAAATTATTGGTTAATATAAAATGCATTAGTTTTTAAAATATATTGTAAACAAGCTTTTATTGATGATATAGAAAAAAAAATTCATAATATTACACTGGTTTTAATAGTATTAAGTGAATTCATATATTAGTAAAAGGATAAATTCTTAAACTTTCTTCTTAAAATTATTTTCAAAAATAGTTAAGTTCCTCAAATATTATGAAGCTTAGAGAATATCTTAATCATGTAAATTTTTTTTAAGAGAAAATTGTGAAATGAAACAAAAACCTTTTGAAGAACTTTAAATTGAATTTTCTTTTTCTCCTCTTCTAGTATCATACTTTAACAATTCATTATTTTTTTGAATTAATTGATAGTAACAAATTGTTGACAATGATCCCAGTAGTTAGAGATCTTAACCAAACAACTGGAGAAGTGTAATATTGTTTCTTAAATCTGACTTAAAGTACCTAATTTAAACTTAATTTTGTTTAATTCAAACTAGCTTAGTGGACTTCTCATATTTTTTAAGTAGTGTAATCCTTTAATTAATAATATGTAATGATGAATTAGTCACTTTGTGAAAGTCTATAAACATTGTGATATCTTTCAATATCTCAATAAAGACATGCCATTGTGGCATGATTGCGGGTTAAAAAAAAAAAAGAAAGGTATTGATATCATAGAAAGAGGAATTCCCTTTTCATCTCATTATTTTTTTCTTGATGAATTCTCGTTTATACTAGAGGTACAGAGAATACTTTCTTTCTTCACAACACGTCATATGTACTTTATATAATTTATGATCTACGTCTCCTGAAAAAGTTTCAAGGAATATAGTGTAAGGAACTGGAGGATAATTTATAAATATAGTCTTATTTGTCACGTTGACGAATAATGATGCATACGCATGCTTGGGAATATTTCCACCAACCGCATTTAAGAAGAGGAGAATACATTCGTAAGAGAGGAGATATAAAATTGAGTAAAATTGCCTTCCTACGTGTGGTTGATTACGATCAGGATGTCCTCCCCGCAACGAACTTCCCCAATGACACTGTTCAACGATCCCACCAAACCTTATATAAATGTGTGCGCTCCAATGGTGAGGTATAGTAAGTTACCATTTCGAGAATTAATTAGAAAGTAAGTTCGTAAAATTTTTAAGGTCTTTAATAAATAACAATTGCAGGAGGACCGAGAGAACTGTTTACATTTGCGAGTCCAAAAGAACTCTCAACTTAAATTTAAATAACAATTAGTTATAAAATAGACTTGGCGTACACGCCAATGATTCTGGCCAAAGAATTTAAGAATTCAGGAGTGGCTAGAGATTCTGATTTCACCACGAATCGAAGCGATACATCATTGATCGTACAATTTGCTAGTAACAATAGCGTGGAATTGTTGAGAGCAGTAGAATTTGTGGTTGGACACGTTGATGGAGTTGGTACGTCGTCCCCTCATTCGCGTTTACCAAATGGTTTGAAATGTTATATAAATAAATTTATTTTAGACATAAATTGTGGTTGTCCTCAAAGATGGGCACTCCGCGAGGGTATCGGGGCTCATCTGATGGAAAATCCCGAGACCGTTAGGGACATGGTTGGAACGATTAAGGGTAGTGGTTTAAATATCCCAGTTTCCATAAAGATCCGGATTCACAAAGATTTACGGTCGGTGGTTATTCTCAAATAGAGTGCATGCAAAAGGTCTCCTTATACATCATGCATCTTTAATAATATTCAATTTTCCCTGAAATGCGCGATCGCGCGACAATAAACAGTAAAACTCTGGACTTCGCAAGACGTGCGGAATCCATAGGATTAGATTTCATCGCAGTTCACGGTAGAACGCGTAGTCAAAAATCCACCTCGCCTGTTAATGTCGCCGCAATAAAATTATGCAAAGAATCACTAAAGATTCCCATAATAGCTAATGGCGACGTGTTTTCCCTAGTTGATGCTGAAAAATTACACGAGAGTACCGGGTGTGATGGAGTTATGAGTGCACGAGGTTTGTTGAAGAATCCAGCACTTTTCGCCGATTTCAAGAGTACGCCTTGGGAATGTATAGAGAGATTTGTTAGGCTATCGTTGAGCTATGGATCAAATCATTTCATTTTTCATCATCATTTGTGAGTGATCTTTTGTTGCTTCCGGTGAATTGATCTGTGAGCAGCGGGTGTCGTAAACACACTAATATCTAATCCAAATCTTTAGAATGTATATGTTCGAAGACGTTATGAGCAATGCAGAGAAAAAAACTTTCAACACGCTGACCAGCATACCCGCAGTCATCGACCATTTGGAGGAACATTATGGATTGCAGCCGTAGACTGACTATCTATCTCACCTCGCTGGTTAAAATTATGTGTCGCTCAATTACTTTGACAAAGTGATTCAAATTCAAGTGCTGTGATGATTCGGTCTTCAACTATTATTATTCATTTAGTTATTATTAATTTATTTTTAAGAGATCACATGAACTCTGAGGATATTATTTTAATAAATGAATTTGATTACTTCACGCGCGATCAATCTACCCATGAGAGAATGTACATCTATGTCGAGAGCGTTTTTTTAATATAATAATGCACGTCGAAATCATAACCATAATCTTCTCGGCAGCCTACCACCATTAATCAACCGAAACGCCATTGCTTCTTAGGTCCTCTTTGGCAAGTTGAATTTCCTTAATAAGAAGCGACCGGTAATCAGCATAAATTCTACGAAGTTTACGAGGGAAGCATAGGAACGGAAATTACCGCCATCAATTCGTGATATGCATCTTCGCAGTCTCGAAATTTATAGACGTGATATCCGATGTTCCCGAGTGAGTATGATCCAAAAGTTACGAGCGCCCACCAAGGCAACTAGGCGAAGGGAAGAAAAAGTTTTGGTAAGCTGAAAATGACAGCGAGCAGACGACGTCTTCTTACCACCGGTAAAATTTCTTGTTGAAAAATCTCTGGCAACGGAACAAATCCGAAAAGGAGAATGAAATATATCGTGGAAATTATCGCAAAAAAAGTGGTAGCTTCTGTGGCTCTAGTCATTTTTGATAAGCAGTGCAAGCTATCAAAAACCCAAATACAGTATGTAATTAGGATTTTTCATGGGTGCATATATTATCAACGTGACATGCAAGTACGCGTATTTGCCGTCTCATCATTGTTGCAAATGGATATCGACACATTATCCGACTCGTCCGAAATTCTTCCTGAAAAGGACAACCCGGGAGAGACACTTGGTGAAAAAATACAGTATATAGCTCAAAGTATATATGTGGAATCAAGTCACTTCTATCTAATGCACCTCCCTCTGTGCGAGAGTTTTCTCAAGGGACGCGCAAACGCATATCACATTGCTAAACAGTTTTTAATTTTAGACGCGGAGGAGAAAAGTCGAAAAGCGTTCGTAAGGAAACAAGTCCTCGAAGTAGAAGAACTCGTGAAATGGCACGGTCTTGATGTACCACAATTGATAAAAACTTTGGACGTTATTCTAAGCGGAAAACTTGGTGGGTTCTCCCGATTTTTATGCGACTTTTCAACTCGATAATAACAAGCTTATCATTATTAGATGAAGGGGATACCAGAAGACTGATCAAGTCCCTAATTCCACGTACAAAGGTGCCTAGTTCGTTGATAGTGAAAATTTTAGGGAACCTTGGAAATAAGAGTGTAAAGCTTAAGATTCAAGTACCTTATCTATTTCTTTTAGACTTTTTTCATCATTAAGAAGTGTGCTGCGTGTTCCTAAACAAAAAGATTTACTTGTTTAAGGCACTTTTACTCCGTTGGATTATACTGATTTACAATATCATAGAAGATCATTCGAAGTTACACAAACTTTATGGCGTTCCTTTCCACTACTTGGATTATGATACATTAAGGTATTTAAATTAATTAGACAAAGAACCATTTTTTATAGTACCGCATGGATATTCACTCCTCTAACCAAATATTCGATCCGTGTAGACCAATGCTCTGCCACCTCTTATGGCTCATGACTCAACGCGAACACGTGAAATCATTTCGGATACGTAAAATGTATTTCTACCCATACCATGCATAACCCTCAATGCGGTGTCTAGATCGTTGGAAATTCGCTAACATCCTTTTCATAGAATGGAGCTCCAAACACGAGTTGGAACCGAACCTCATATCCAGGGATTATTGGCGCTCTATAGAGATTACTCTCCAACCTTGGTGACGATTCACATTCCCTTTACTAAAAACGCGACATTTAAAGTAGTAGATTGATTTTTTTCGGATTTCGATTGTATTTTGTTTCCAGTGAGGTGTGATTCTCAACCTGTTCCATTATTCCAAAGTGTCCAGATGTAGCATGGATTCATCTATTAAATAAAGTGTACGCGAGGTGGAATAAAGGTGAATCCCTGTTTGCAGCGCCCGCGGGAAAATTAAAGAACTCGAGATGGACGGTAGGGAACCTCTCGGAAGAATTTTTACATAGGTCTACCGAGACCAAAGGAGTTATCTTCTAACATTACCATTCTATCGAAAAGTCTAAACGGAAGGATATAAATTTTATCGGGTTACGCGTGGCATCAGTAAGCATCGAGTGTATAACTTATTTGGGATTATTGATCTTGTGAACGTACGATCATAGGCCATCACAATTCCAACTTAACTAGGGCATCACCACTCTCGAAGAGATATCAGATGTCAAGCAGTTCGCGGCAAATATAGACAAGATTGAATTTCCCGACCGTTTGGCTTCCGTTCTGGTGGATAGTCGAATTCTGCAGGACATTCTTGCGTGCGATCCTCAAAGTAAGTGAAAATGTTCGTATCTCATTTTCTCGTTGACGCTTAAATCATCTCATACATTCTCTTCGTCTTGCAGAAGTGATCGTCGCCCGAGTCAATTACTGGATTGATCAATATCTCATGTATCTTGTGCACTGTGGTGATAACGACAGAGATGACAATGCAAGGTCAAGATTTGTTGAATTTTTTTTTAAACTGGTCGCGATGACCGAGGTCTTGAAGGTAAACGATCCGTACGCATTTTGATGTTTCAAAGAATCTTTCTCCAATCTGATCCTATTTCCTCGATTACTTCCGTCTTGAAGGAATTGCTTCCGGCTATTCATGAATTCATGATTAAATATATTCGCTCGTGGAACGGAATTGAACATCAAGGGCAAATCTTTAGTATCCTGGCTTTTCTTCGGCCTGGACCTTTTGACCGTACGTCTTCGCTCACGAATTAATGCATTTACTTTGAACGAAAGATAACTTATCGTTCTCTCCGTGACCAGAGATTTCTACCAATTTTTTGGAACCGCTTAAAAAACTATTTGCAGCTTCTGCGGCTAGTTGGAAGGTTTGAATTGTGGGAGCCAGAGATGCATTCTGTTTCAACTTATTCGGCAAATCGCAAATAATGGATGCTCATTACAGGCCAGGCTAATACATTGTTACACGAATTTACTAAAATATTGGATTTTGCTTCACGCAACAAGACAAAATCTTGACGGGTAAGGAACGAGAACATGCATACACACGTGCGCATTTAATCAAGCAGATTCCTCTTTTGCAGGGAGAGTCTGTCTAACGAAATTGATTACACCACGACAATCTATGGTTTCATCAACCATATCGAGGAGATTGCGCAGGATGCTCTTGAAGTAACTGACAATTATTTCCATGTTTACTTGTTCTTTAAATTATACCGCAAATATTTAATCGAACGGATTGTTGTTGCATGATAGATCGAAAGAGATAATATAGAAATACAGCATGCAGTGCTTTCTTTTATAGAAACCACCGCATTTCTACAGGTCGAATACAAGTGGGGCAAAATAATTGTTCCTTCCTCTTCAATTGTTTATCGATCCTTCTTATCTTCCGGAATGTCTTTGTCGAGAATCTGTGGAGTTATACTGAAGTAATTCGAATTTATCTCTAGCGCGTGTATGTGCATGAAATCTAATCGCCCCCAATTATGTAGGATTAAGAAAGATTTTGATAAATTGGAACGAAGAGCTTCCATGGTGAGAGTGCGGCAAAATTTCCAGGATGACATCAACTCATTTGTCATGGATATATGCAATTGTTTGTGGAGAAACCGTCCCTTTAATAAGACGGATAAAAATGCGAAGGGGTTTCAGTTTGATGAGTGAGTTCGCAAGTCATTATTCTGATCTGGTGTTGAATCATCAAATCCATACAATTTCTATGCCATTAATTTTAAGTGATTTCGTCGAGCAAATGAAAAAGATGTGCGGTGAAAACTATTCCTACTCTTTTTCGCTAACTCATCTACCGTCTCTTACTTCGATGTCCAAAAACTGTGTCGAGGTATCGTAAATTACTTCCTGGTTATAACTAACTTCTTGATTAAGATTTAGGTTTAAAGCCTTTTTATTTATTGAAGGCATTAGAAGATTCCACACCTGGCGTTTTAAAAAAACACTCAGAACCAGTGACATATGAGTCTCTCAAAAAGCTATCAACCGTATGTAATATATATATTTTTTTATAATTCCGACTGTTCTTCCCCTAAAGATCACACGACTAAGCTCGATGGTTGTGCAAAGTGCGGCGGACTCGACATCTCGTACAACGATTTTCGCGTTCGCTTTCTGGAAGAACTTTTAGGGCGAGGATATTCTGGCTTGTACGCGTTCTTGCACCATTTCGTAACTCAATTAAAGGAAAAGGCGAAGACTAAATGAACGCTTCATGATTGGTGCTTGCCTAATAATGAAAAATTTTAGTATTCAATAAAAGCAATGAAATTGCTACTAAAACCCCTTACGTTGTTTTTCACGAATTATAAATATTTTGAGAGCCTCGCAAGATGGTAATTAATAGTATTCGAACCCTTTTTTCGCGATTTCTTTAAAGTGCAACTTTCGTTAGTCGGTTTTCTAAATCGCTCGGTACAAATGCCATAAAGGACATCAAAGGGGATACTAACCGCATTGCGCATGCATTCAGTAAGGGCCTGAACGGTCTGTTGACAAGAAGGAGAATCCACCGAATTATTTGACCAGCAAGTCAAGACGGCTGCAACTTCGGAGGTGCAAGAACCAATATTTTCAATCTTTCTTGGTCGAGCACAAAGTTTCTTGATTTTCATCTTGATTTGAAAGAGATGGAATCAAAATTCTTATCGTCACTTTTACGCATTCCGATGTCATCTGCCAATCAGATTAACTCACTTGTTCTAGGTTAATCAACTACGAGTAATTTTTGCTCCATTAATAGATACCCTCTTAATTACTAACCCAATCACTTTATTTTATACTTTGTTTTCTATCTATACTCTATTACTGTATATTTCTGATAATATTGAATAAAGTAATAATCGTTTTGTATTTTCAATTTTAAATCATTTTTCAATCTTTTTTTATATCCTTTGTCTTAATAATTTTTTTATAATATTTTAATTTTGTTATTTTTAATCAAATGATTTTTCATTAATTCTATAAAGTTTATTAAACTAGTTTGAATATCTATTTATCTATTTTTCAATTTTTTCTTTGTTATTTATTATCAATTATACAGTGTGTAACAAAACTTTTTGAAATTCTTTATTTATTCATAACTTAATAAAAAATTATCTAAATAATATAAAAATTTAAATATATATTTTTTAAAAGTTAAAGAATAAGGTTACTTAAGACTATTTATATATGTTTTATATTATTTTATATTAATATTTTTATTTAAATTCCAAAAAAATTACTTATAAAATTGATTTATAAATTTTTTATTATGTTTTTATTATATAAAATCAGTATGGAAATTTATTAAAAAATTTTTTACTTTTATAATTCAATGAAAAATTATTTATTTTATATAAAATTTTATAAATAATTTCTTTATAACTAAAAAAACAAAATTAAGATGCTAAAACTTTTTCCACTAATCCACATTTTTTTAAAAAAATTTTCTTTTTTAATAATTTTTTTGAAAAACTCACAAAAAATCTTTTATACAAGAACAAACCTTAAAGGACAACTATTCACTTCTAGGCAATAAAATCTACTTTATAATAACAAGAAAAGAGTTTCGCTCAACTTGAAAGATAGATATTTCTAGATCATTTTTGCTTTTAGAAAGGAGAAAAATCAAAAACAAGTTGATGCACAATTTACTTCTTGAAATCCAACCTTAACTCCACAAAGCTTTTAGCCAGGTCAGTGCAGGTTAACACCTTTCTAGACACTAAAAGAAATCTCAGAAACAATAAATTATACTAATAAATTAGCACAACCTCAAAGCTAACTGAATCCAGAAGGATGTCCAAGTCTCTTTGGTTAAACAACTAAAAGATCACAACAATACAACAACCCCAGATCAACTGATTCATATCATGCAAACACAAATACGTTAGCTTTTTATCTAGTTGATATGTATCAAAGTAAGTTGATCAACCTATAACAAAATAATAGGACGTGACAGATCAACAAACTAAAATGTGTATGATTAACTAGCACGTATTATCTAAAGTAAGATCAATAGTTAATCACAGCCAGTTATGTATTAATAAACAATACTGAACATGTAAACATATAGAAGCCACATGTCATAGACTCCTTAATATCAATATAGCAACTTATTGCTATATATATCAAATGAAAAAATAATACACAATAGTATTTATCCAATCACATGGTTAAAAAGACACTTATACAATAACAACACATATTATAATTTTTGTGTATTATGTGACAACATGTCAATTAAAGAACAAACAATAATCAGGATTTTAGAAAAAAGAAAAAGGAGCTATTGAAAGTATTGGAAAAGATAACATCTCATTAAGATTCTCAGCAAGTACTCTGGGAAACAAGAATGATAAAACATAAGTTAAAACCAATAATAACTAATCAACCCCACATCAAGGGATTGCAACAGATCGGATCGAATCAAATTTTAAATTAATCTGATCTAAATCCGATCGGATCTGTTTTTATTTGATCTGATTCATATTTAAACAAATTTATTTTTATATGATCCATATCTATTCGGTTAATCTGATATTTTTTTAATCATGTTTTTTTTTTTTTTTTTTTTTTTTTTTTTTTAATTCATTTTTCCCTACTTAATGTTTACTTGCCATCTTTAAGTTTTATATATAAACA